CCCCCCCCCAGAATTTGCAGTGGCACAGGGACTTCACTAAGTTGCATGTAACATTTATAAAGCAGAAATTCAGCTTTGAAACACTGTAGTAAAAGGATACTGAGGTCAACAAACGGAGGAACTTTAAAACCAAATGAAAGGCTGACTTTGGAAAGATCCAAGTTATTGACATTATAGATCTGCTTCAGAGAATGGGAGTCATAAGCTCTAATGTAAGCTTTGTATGCTTCCTGGGCTGACTTGTGAAGGAAGTAGTTCTTCTCAATCAGTTTCTCCAGCTGGTGAGGGGAAAAAAAACAAAACCAAAAGACAATTATAGCTGTAGCAAGTGTATAAATTATATTCAAGTAAATTATTTAGCATGTGAGTTGCAGTTACAGTCACTATTCACTTCAGCAAAATTGCCCTGTGATGGTAGAGTGCACATACATATATCAGAGTGCTTTCATAAACAGAGGGACAAAAAAGCCTGAAGCTGAATTACAGTACAAAGTCTTAGCAATATGAAAATTTACCAAAATATTAAATAGGGTTGTCCCAAACAAGGTAATCAAGAAGGAGTATACAAATGCAGCCACACCATGAAACTATGTGTACTGAGAATTAAAAGTATACTGTCGTTGTCCGTTAAGTCAGACATCTAAACTGTACCATTCCATGTAATTATATCTGTAGTCTTATCTATTATGTTGCAAATGCATTGTAAAATAAGCAGTATTAATTCTAAGACAAAAATGCAGTTGCACTAGTGTAGATTGAGACATTGTATTTGTTGTGGGCTAAGTTCCCCATACTCTTCAGATCCAAGTGTCTCATTTGATATTTAACATACATTAATTCAGCATACTAAAAATAAGTTACATTAGACATCATTACTTCCTAATTATTCTTAACTAGGAACCTCCTTCTATAAGGACTGTCTTCACTGCTTCTTGTACTTGCTATTTCAAATTTAAGTTACTGCAAAGAAGCTTTACAGAGCTCTTTACCAAAAGAATGATTCACAGAACTAAACAGCAAGAGCAAATTGCATCTCCAGAACTATCTACGCTATTCTGCTCAACTTTGTGCTCCATGGCTATTTTTGTAGCACTGGAGCACAAAACAGGTTTAGCTGATGCTGTGCCTTATTAACACCAGCTAGTTAAAAATACACCTGGAGTATATACTAATGCTTCTAAGTGTTGGTGCTGGATCTCTTTGTGCACACTGAACTCTGAGTAAATCATCTTATAAGATGTTATAATATATGTTACTTGCAATTAATCTGAACATACGTAACTATTCGATAAAAGCTACTGAAACCCTGTTTGCTGTGCTAGACAAGAACACTGTTCAAAAGTTGAAAGCAGGTTTACATTACTGTGGTTTTGCGATGCAATGTGAAAAAACAATTCTTACAAGCAAATTCGTACTGTATAATGATGACAATTTAGTACTAGATATGAAAATTAATCTTTAATTTCTAAACATTTTATCACTGTACTGTCATCAAGGGACAATACGGCAGAAGGATTTACTGCACAGTACTCATCTACAGGAACTTTTCCAAACAAGCACACATATTTTTAAACTGCAGTTGTTATAGACTAACATTCTCCATGTAATATACAGATATTCAGAGTAGCTGTAGTATGAAGTAATTTCATACCTGAGACTGAATGTCTGAAATTTTTGACCAAGAAAATTCAAATTCACTTAGTGGTACCTTAAAAAAAAAAGAAAGAAAATATCAAAATTACTTATACTGTCTAAATAGTGAATGTGTTTAAGACCTAAGACAAATAGAAAAAAGACCTGCTACATAACAGGTTATTTTTTAGTACCACAGCTGTGTCTATAAAGTGCCTTTACATCAATATGCCAGTATTATCACTTCCTTTAAGCTAGAGTAATAGAGACGCTCAGTATGACACTTTTACCACTTTAGCTTTTGCTTTAGAAGCTATACTGCTTCAGTTACAAGTGGCAAAACTCTGTAGTGTAAGCAAGCCCATAAGAAAAGCAACCAAGAAACAATATGCTTTTCTATCATATTAAAATGATTACATTTAGAAGAAGGCTACGCTTCTTTTGGAATTGAAGAAAATGCAATTGATTCTTTGAATAGAAAAAATAAAAACTGCACAAGCAACATCTGTGTTTTACTTTCCTCTGGATGGTCAAGCTCCCAGTATCCTTCACAGGAGGTCACAGGAAATGGATTTATTTTTTAATAACACAAGCTGCACAGTTGCAAAGCAACTATAAATACACTCAATATTTACCTTTGTGCTGCTGACTTTAAAGTCAGATGTTCAGTTAAATGTTTTCTAAGCAACAGAATGTTTTTTGCTTAAGGAATTAAAACGTTAATCATCGCAGTTTTTGCTTTTAAAAACCTGTTGCACAGTTAAAAAAAAAAAAAAACCAAAACCAAACATGCTTACCCTGGCTTGCTTTAGGTAACGAAGAAAGCCCAGTTCTTCTGGTCGTAAAATGAGCAGAGCATGTCCTCTACCATTTATACCTCTGGCAGTTCTACCAACACGATGAATATATTCCTTTTGGAAAGAGTAAAAAACAGCAAGTCTAATCAGTCTTTCAAACATGTAATAAACAGCTTCACAACCCCCAAATTTAACATTAACGTAGTGTAATGCACCATCCATTATTTTTTAAGACTTTTTCTTAGCACTGACACATGGATGAGGGAAAAAAAGTGCTGAAGATGCAAAGCATAATTAGGCTGAGACAGAACCCCGACTAAAAGTATTTTACATTTTCCCAAAGAAAAAAATCTTAGTCTGCTGCAACTGAAAATTAAACTTTGCTTTTGGTATATCTGCTCTGTATATTTGTCAAAACTTCTGAGTTTTTTTCGTGGTTCACTTGTTTACACTAGACATTTATTCAAGTAAGAATACTGACTTTTAATTAAAACCAAATTTCCACTGGAAAAGCTGTTAGGACACTCAGGGATGCATATATAAACTTATACTCCTCCTGAGAAGTGTTTTGTTGTTTAGCTGATTAGATTTTAAATTAATTTAACAGCACAAAGAATGTTTTAAAAAGCAACTCTTCAAAAGGTAACAAAGCTCTCAGCTAGGTGCAGCATATCCTGGGAGCTGGTGACAGGAAGTGGAAGAAATCAGCGGCTAGATATGAACATGGCTGAATCCTGACCTCTGTCAAGCAGCAGTTTCGGGTTTCGGCTCTTCTCTGCAACTACATTTGTAGCTAGGATTTGATTTGTTGCTGTGAAATTTCTCTATTTCCTTAACTTACTTTTGGATCATCTGGAGGGTCATACTGGACAATCCAGTCAACTTCAGGAATATCCAATCCTCTGGCAGCCACATCAGTACACAACAGTATTCCAGATTCTGCATTACAGAACTGGAAAAATGTTGTAGTACGTTTGGTTTGTTTCTGCTTGCCCTAAAAGGAAACAAACAAATCAAAGATGAAATATCAACTAAAAAAAAAAAAAAAAAAAATATCTGCCAACTTGTAAGCTTAAATCTAATTTTCCATTTCACATACTATATCACTGCCAAAATATAAAATAATTTGGGGGATCCTTCCATATTATGGACTTGCACAGACCAAACAGGACTATTTCACAGAAGAAACAATGCTACCACAGTAAACAGCACAGGGCTACATGAAATGGTATCTCTCAGAGGTTACGCTGTAAATTCCAAAGCATTAAAAATTTGGTTGCATAAGCATTCCTTTCAGGAGGGCTGCATAAATGCCTGAAGTTCAGAAAAGGGATGTTTACAAGTCTAGCAATATGTTAGATACATTACAGTTCTTTTTAAAAAAACAAACAAACAAACAAACAACTTGTAACTTCTATCAAAGTATAGCCAAAAAAAAATCCCCCAAAAAACAAAATAAAAAAGGACATTTGTGGTCAGTTATAACTATTTCATAAACTTTCAGTCAATTCTTTCTCCTGAACTATGCTTTTGTGGTTTTGATAAAAATTTCAAATACTCATCCAAATGGTGAGAATTGGCATAGTAAAACCAAACATCACCCTGGCCTTAGAAAAAGCACCCAACACTCCAGGGATCAGTGTCTGGATTCCTCCAACAATAGCTTTTCTCCACAAATTTTCAGTGCTTATGAAAGGCAACCTCTTGGAAGAAAACAGAAAGCTCTCTCCACACAGAGCATAAATTAATACCGGTGTTCAACCCTAGTTTGGAAAATAGCAAGGTTAACAATGTTGAAGTGTTGTTATTACATAGTATTTGCTTTATCTCCTTCCTCTACAGACTAATCAAGATCATCATCAGCTTTGCAAGCAGCGTTATCTGTTTATTAGAAACCGGACTGAAATACACAAGGCAAATGTAAGGTCAGTAACAACTTACAGGTACTATCAGATTAATTAATCAATGAATAAAATACTTACATGAATGGCCAAAACAGGCAGATCAATATAGTTGAGTAATTCATAGTGGTACTTCACTGACATACATGAAGAAAAAAATACCATTAGTTTCTTCTTCCGGTTCTTCTTGAGGAATGTGAAGAGCAAAAGGAATCTTTTTTCAGATGGACACACTACATACCCCTGAAAAAAAAAATGTTAAGTATTGTTAAATGAAGTAGTATGGAACAAACTTTTGTTTCAGCAATACAATTAAATCATGGAAGTGTTACGTTGTGAAACAAATATGCGAATAGTTAACTCTTCCAGCTATATTGGCCCAAACCATTTGATTTATGAAACTCCTAAAGATGATAAACTTGGCAAGACACTTACTATCCTAACTTGAAATACAAAGAAGTAATTTTTAATGAATTCTCCAAACTAATAAGTTCAGTGAAAAGTAATTAGTTTATACAATAAAAGTTAATTTCAAGAACTCTGAATTACTGACATTGGGCATGGAAAAAACTGCATAGGGTTCTTAACATTTTTTATGATTTCAAGAATTTTACAGAATTCTTGCTACTGGCTTACTCCTTTAAGTTAATGTATAGCTACTGGTAATTTTATAACAACACTCATCATGTCAACTGCACAAACACAGAAACAGCTCTGCAACTCCATTTAGCTATTATCTGAAGCAGCAACAATGAAATACATCTGAAGTATATATATCTCTAGTCAGTAATGTGGAAAATACAGTTAGAAGGACAACTGGAGCTTAGGTATGTAATAGAGATAGGAATAGACAAGTGTAAGTAACTCTGTTACTATTTCATGAGGTTTTATAGCATCTGTCCTGCAAACATTGACTAGATGCATATAACTTGCTATAGTTAGCAGACGGAATAAAGCCCGTTAGGCAACAGATAGCTTTTGTCCATGAGGATAGTAAACACCCTTTAAGACAGTGTTTGTACAACCCAATTAAAAACACACAGGACTTGGTATGTTCACAGATCATACCCCTTTTAATAACATTTTTGTTTTACCTGTTCAAGACCATCTACTGTTGCCGTCTCCTTGTTATCATCAACCCCAACATATAGTGGCTCTTTCTTCAGAGAGATCTTTGCCAGATCTTCAACCTTTCTGGTTTGTGTAGCAGAAAAAAGCATCGTCTGTCTGCGCTCTGAAAAAAAAAAAAAAAATTTATTTTGGAAGACAGCCCCATTTTTTAAAGGAGAATTCAAATAGCAAGTCCATAAAATCTCTAGCTGCAAACTTCCCTGAGTAAGTCTTCTACTTTTTTCAATTAAATTCCAATTCGAACATACTGCTACTGACAAAGACAGGTGTAGTTGTATTATGGATTGTACAGGATGTTTACTTAGGCTGCCTCCACCCCCAAAATCCTAACAGCTATCAAAGCACAATATTCTTTCTCTCTGAGAAAATGTTAATAATCATTTGCACTCCAATTTAGACAGAAAACAATGATTTAAATAGAGACCGACCTTGTAATTCTAACTATAAATTGATTTCATTCCCATGAATATTAAAATGTTGGTTTAAAAAAAAAAAAAGCTAGAGATTGTGCAAGAAAAATCTTACCAAAACTAAAGTGCGTTGTTACTGTTTGCCTTGCAAAATCAGTCTAGAACCTACACATTTGTGCATGCTATTTAGTCACGTGGCAGTACGTCTGTACTGAGTGTCAGTGACTTCAATGGTCTTAGAGCAGGTGTAGGAAATCTCCTGCCCGCCTATCATTTCTCGGCTCAAATATACATCCTGATCCCGTAACGTTTTCTTGCTACATGGAAAACGCAGACTTAGCCTGTTCCATTTCAGAACTGCAAGAACAGTAGCAATTGTTCCTGTCGAACAATCGGTGCCACCATTTTTTAATTTTTTTTTTCCTTCCTATTTTGAAGCATCTGTTTTAAAATACAATTTCCTTCCTAACGGGACAAAACCAAATTAAACTCATGCAAAGTAAAAATTTCTTTTATCTATAATTTTCCACTTCACGAAGAATATGTCATTTTCCCACCCTTCCTTCCCTTTCCATTTTTAGCACCGTTCATTAACATTCTTCACAGGATGTTATTTATTAGATTTATATATCTGCATTTTAAATATGCAGATGCAAATTTTAAGATGTGGAAGATCAAAATATTTATCACTGATTTTTTCATATACTACTTCCATCGGGGTTTTTTTCTGCATTTTGAAAGTTAAAGGAGAGCCTTGTTGACTCTGAGAACATGTTTAATATATCAATTACAAGGAATAACTAAATGAAAAATTAGGAAAAGAAAACTTTAAGGTAAATACTTAAACTTCCTTAAGATACTGTTCTTGGAGGTACGAAGAAAATTCAAACTGCAAGTCAGAAGACCTTTTTCCTCATATTTAAGCTTCATTAGGAAATAATGAATTGTAGGAAATAAACAGGCAGAAGAAGATGCATGAGAGAACATGGATGTTAAACTAAAAGGATCTGAACAGAATTATGTCCCTAAAGTGCATATGAAAACTCTGTCCTTCAGATAAATGATGTTAAATAAAGTAATATATACACTAGCTATCAGAAAAAAAAGGACAGAGTAAGACAGTCACTCTGAAGTGCATTTACAGAACTATAAAAATTAATGACTTCTTTTATCATAATTGAGTCATAAAGAAGACATAATGTTAGTCAAGTGACTGCCAGGAAAGACAGAGTTTTTCTTACTTGGTAGAAGTTTTATGATCTGTTTCATTTCTTCTTCAAATCCAACCTCCAAGATACGATCTGCCTCATCAATTACCAAACACTGCAAGTTCTTATACATGAAACCTGGAGTGTTCTAGGAGATTAACAAACTCAGAGTCAGACAGGGACACGTTTTAATAACACAGATTAGACATCAATATTTTACCTACCTGCATATGATCCAGCAGTCTACCTGGTGTTGCTACAATGATGTTGATTCCGTTTCCAAGTTTCTGTGCTTCTGCTGATCTGTTACTGCCCCCCATTACCAGACCATAGGTGTGAACATGATGGTTCATCAGTTCTTTAAGAACTCCATAGGTTTGCATAGCAAGCTCTCGAGTAGGGGAAAGAATAATAACACCCGTTCCTAAAAAATACATCAATTGGACAAGAATAAGCTACAACTTATCCAATCCCCCTTCTAGCCATATCCCTAAATGGCTGCGCCACAGTAAAATCCAACTGTGAAATGAGAGCCTTACCATTTCTAGGCATGAATTTTAGCTTGTAGATGAGCTCTACTGCAGGAATAAGAAACGCAAGTGTTTTGCCACTGCCTGTTTTTGCAGCTGCTAAAATATCCCTGTATGCAGCAAAGTTAAAAAAAGAAGTATTTAGTTGATCGTACAGAGAAAAGAACAATCCTATTTTGAACAATGTTGACAATGTAAAAACATAACATGGTGTAAAGGAAACCAACAGGGTTGGTATAAAGAGCTCAGTGGCAGAATTGGTCTCTACGTCTCTAGTGACAGTGTAAGACAGCGTCTTTGAGACGCACTGACAGCAAGGCTAGGGAAAACAGACTTCCCTGCTTTCAAAGCCAAACGCAAAGCAGTTTCCATGAGCTTACCCTAAGTATCTGTTCACATGCAACACAGATATACTTTGTTAGCATTCATTAATGTCTATAAAAAAATACATAAAACATGTGAGAACGTATTAAAAGAAAAAAAACAGTTTAACTGCAGAAACTCACATTTCCTGTGTTTAGCTTGCTAGCAAAATTTACACAACACTTGGGGTCAATATAGTGATTAAAAAGATGTATTTCTTACCTGCCTTCAAGAAGCGGTTTAATACTTTTATGCTGAATTTCGGTCATGTGTGTAAAACCCATGTCATTTATGCCTTTTAATGTATTCTCGCTGACAATACCAGCCAGAGAAGTAAAAGAATTGTCTTCAAAAGCACCTGAAGTGAGGAGGGGGGAAAAAAAAAAAACAAACTCAAACTTATTTCTTCAATTCCATCTGTCCTCTGCGATTACCCAGTTAAAAGTGACCTAGATGAAAAAAATCAGAGCAAAGGACTTTTTCTTATCGCTTTCTACCATAAAATCTGAAGACATTGACAAAATACTCTGTATTAATGTGTTCCTAAGAATACTACACAGCGCTCTTAAAAATGAGCATGAATGCACTGCTTCTCCTGCCAAATTTACTAGTCCTGTACCTCCATCTTACTCTTCATTGACTTTTTCTTCTATGGTTAAACAGATGTGCATAAATATGTTTTAAAACAGATTTTCACTAGTAATTTTAAGACTAACAGAAGTGTGTAAGTAACACAAATTTCAAAGAACAGTAACTGAGTAATAGCTGTACAGCTGCCAGTATTGTGTCACCTATACTCAAGCACCTGACTTACAATGCTAATTTGGAAACTGCAACTTGCTCTGGAAGAAAGCGTTAGACCTTGGCTTTTTGCACGCGTATGAAACAGAGGGCACAAGATACCTGTTACACCTAGTGGTAAACTGGGCACTTCATCCTCCTCCCCGTCCTCCTCTTCAACTTTTTTCTCTCCAGAATCCTGCTTATCTTCATCTTCTACCTCCACAGATTCATCTTCTGCAGTTTTCGCCTTTTTAGGTTCTGTATCTAGAGCGTTATTTTACAGAAAACAAGTCAGTTAGAAATATGAAGAACATGTTCATCATTAAAGCTGTTCCACAGAGTGAATTTCTTTACTCGGTAAACCACTTACAAATGTCGTGCTTTCTTCATGGGGCGGGAGGGGGGCAGAGGAAGGGGAGGCAACATTTCTATAGAAATTTCTGAAGCAGAGAGCAAAAAAATTCAGAAGTTCCTTGCACACAATCCACTTCGCACAGTAAAACAGTGAAGCTTAACGTATACTATATGAAATCTTCTGTGGAAACATGGGACAAGGTACAAAATTCTTTCCTATCTGCAACGCAGACATAAAGCTTCCAACACGGTTTGTGCTCAGGTCATGTGAAATGTAACGTCTGTTCCATCTTAAGTACCTGAATCCTCAGAGAACTGCATGAAAACACCTCTTTATTTGCATGACCATGAGAAGTGTCACAAAGATCAAACACTTAAGAGACAGAAGTTTCAAATATCTATAAAAATATATGTATGCGTGCATACATATGTATAAAAACATATAAAAATCTAGCAATATTTGCAGGATGCAATTTTTGGGGGTAGCTTCCCAGTACACTTTATAGTTTCATAATATACAGATGCTGCCAAAAGCTGGATGCGTTGCTAAAAGGACGTACTGGCTGGACATTCGAGCACAGAAAGCTCTACTTCAAAAGACAATATATATATTTGGATAACAAACAAGCAAAACATCCAAACTTCATGCTGCAAAGCAGAATCCTATGCAGCAATTAAAGCGGTTGCTACCGGTTTAGTACACATTAAGAGTTCAAATGTTACAGCCGGAGTAAGAAAACAGGTAATACTGAAGACCAGGGCTTTGCAGCGTACGCCAGACCAACACACGGTGCCTCTCACAGTCCAGCCGACAACTCCTCTCCGACAGGGCGCAAAGCGAGAGCAGGCGCTTTTTGGGGTCCCCGAGAACAACTCCGCCCTGGGGTGTGTTAAGATAACGTACCATCTTCCGCAGGAGCCGCC